ATATAAGCTGCATCACAAACATCCACTTAATGACTTTTTTGTAACATTATCTTATAGAGATTAGATAAATCAAGAATTCGAATAGATAAAATAAAGAAATCTATAAACCTTGGAACACTGTTTACATTCAAACAGCATTTTATTCAGAATAAACTAGAATTGGCAATGCAGGTTTCTCTAAAAGAAAAAAAAAAACAGATACATCGGTCCAAATGGTGTAGCTCTTAATTGGGTTTGGGTACTTAGGATGTCTATAAGTTGGCAGTATTTTTTTGAGAAGTTTTTAAAACTTCTTAACTCTTCGGTTTTTTATTTTTTCAGACAAAATCTGTGTTTTAATTAATAATGTTATTATTTAATCAAAAACTCAATGTTTTTTTAAAAACTTTGGTATACATGATGTCAAAAATATTTAACAAAAATACAAGACCACGGCCTCGAAATGTCAACAATGTGAGTGTAATGAATGCAGCGTAAATTTTCCTTGTCAGTCACCTTGCTACCACTTTACGTAGATAACTCATTAGATAGTACTATTGGTCGTCTGGTCCGGTCAACTCGTTTCTTTTCAGTGGCCATTTTATCTTATCTGTTGAAACTTTTTATAAAACCTTGCTTGTAATTTTTTTAAAGCATATTAACACCTAAGTATAAAGTAGTAAATTTAGTGTTTTTATGGCAGTTTCTGAAAAAATTCAAAATGCAGAAGGTAGAAGAGAGGTACGTAAATTTTTGAAGCAGTTTTGGCAATCTCAATGCGACTGACACTAGTAATTTTTAGTGTTGATATTAAGGTACGCTGACGCAAGTACTACCATGAAAAAAAATCGTCTAGCAACTGTTGAAATTTCACATTGAAAAATTATGTTGTCTGTTGCGTTATGTTGGTGTTCCAACGCGTTGATTTTCGGTTCGACATTTACCGAATAATCAAAATTCCTTCAATTTTTCTTGTTAGGTTATGTTGTTTTAAATGTAAGATTTAGGAGTGTCGGAAATGTAAACGTTGTTGCAAAATGTTCTTACTTGATTAAAAAATTGGTGGAAGTTATTTCAACAAAACTGCCCTCACCCTTAAACTATGTAGATATATATTCCGACAATTCCGCTTCTTTGAAAAAATTAATTATGGACACGTTCAGATTGCAAACATCACTGCATCAGCGGTTAAAAGAAAATGAAATTTGATGAATTTTGTCGCCCCAATGCAGAGAAGGGAAGTAATTAATTAATTAAATTTGAGGAATATAATCTGAATGCCTATGGTAAAAACTTAGCATGGATTCGTAAATTACACATGAAGTAGCATGTTACTTTATAAAATTTAAGGAAATTCGGCAAAATTGTAGAATGACGCCATCATTTTTTGAGAAGCCATAAACGAATAAATTTTAATGAACCATTTATTATCATGCTTCCTGTAAACTTAAATCATTTGCAAAGTATAACAGCAATTGATTTTGCAATTCTAAAGTTAAAAAGAAAAATGTTTTTATACATTTTTTTTTTTCAAAAATGTGGATATATGTGCAGGAATATACTATTTTATAAAATTTAAATAACATCTACTAATGTAAATTTTGGAGATGATATCGCCATCATATTGTTGTTAGCGTTTGACAACAATCGGTCCAGTAGTTTCAGAGGTTATATTTCTAATAAAAATGCGGACCGAAGGCAGGCAGACAGACAGAAACCGAAAACCGATTTTTCGTACTCTTGGGGTCATGAAACGTCGACAAAACATGAAGGCAGCCAGCCGTCCGATGGACTCGGAGTACAATACTTCCTTAGCTTACTCTCGGGAAGTAAAAATGTAGGAGTATCTGATAAATGAAGTAGAAAGCTTGCAAAACAGCTCCAAGAAAATGTTAGACCACTGACAGACAAAAAACTACCATCGAATCAGTTTGTCCAACATAAAGAAAAAATGTCAGTACTACTTTACGTCGAAAAAATTGTGAGCTGATAATGCAGGAGAATAACAACTAGATTGGCTTTACTGAAGAACTATTCATTTTTAGAAAATAATCTAAATAAATTAAATGTTCTCTTTACTTTTAATTATAGAATCTCAAAAATACACCAGGTTTCCACTTATCTGAATTATGAAATTTCTTTAAAACACAGAAAGAATCTACGAAAAAAAAAATATAGAGAAGCACTTGACGTCAATTTTATACCGTTGGTTCATATGTATTCACAGTTAAAAAAAGACAATAGTTTCTATGATTTTCAGCAATTAAATATGTGGTACGTTTGTAACATTGTGAACAGCAACAAGACACGAATTTTCACAACTACATATACACATATACATGTGTTCCAACGCCATAATTTATTTCGTTTAGCTTGGTATCGTATGGTACCAGGCGTTAAAATCTCGGTTATTGATAAACACGAACATCAAGAAAATACATTTGAATTATTGTAAAACGGTCACAAGAAACGTATTTTTAGGAAAAAATAATAATAAAGGCAATGTAATTACAACTTAATAATTGTTTTGACCATCATTATATAGCATTTTATAATTCATTGCTTTATTTCTACGGAAAACCCAAATTAAACGTACTTAATTCTTTTTGTAGATACATACATATGTATTAGGGTCACTTTTGGCTACGTAATAATCAAAAAACAAAATGTAGCATCTGAAGTATGTATAATTGTTTGCCAAAATTTTTTTTGAAGTAAAAAACGATCATATTTCTGGAAAATTTTAGTGTTATTGGGTTGGTTATCTTAGAATGTGGTTTTTACAAAACAAAATAATGAATTACAAAGCGCAATACCATAGTGACACGTATGTTTAACTTAGTTATCACAATACATATATATTTTGAAATTTAGTATGGTGGATAAATCATAAAAGCTTAAAAGATTATGTTGTATTCGATCACGGCAAAAAAATAAATCTATATATATATATTACACACTATATAAATTTCACTCAGGTACTGTGAAGCTCTATTGATTTTTTTCTCATAGGTGTATTTCGTTTTATCCATCTGGTCCTCTTACGTTGCATATTTTCAGACAATCGAAACCAGTAACCAAAAAAAGTTTGGGATTTTACAGATTTATTAAACTTTACTAGAACCGAGATAAATAGTTGTCCAAACTCAGAGCATATCGATATTCTATTTTTCGGTTTTTCTGGCTGAACTAATGTGTCTTTTGATGCTTTGTAAGGTAATGTTTGAACGCTACATTAACTTTAATAACTGAAAAAAAATGAGATAGGTTTTGTAATTAGCTTCATTACTAATCTGATTCGCACCAACGCGGTCCCGGAGAATTTTTGTCTAACGACAGAGGTGTCCATCAATAGCGACAATTTAACTAGAACACAATACATATTCATAAAATTACAAGGTGAAAACCCGATGAAGTGACAGTTTTTTCTGGGTTAACCTATAAGGTCAATCAATTGATCGGGTCACGTGCCAAAATTATACAACTCATTATCTTAATAATCAGTAATTAAATGTAAATGGTACCCTTTAACTTATTCATGTTACATACATCACGCAACCTCAATAGTGCAAGTTAGTGTTGGTTTGCATCCTTGCAATCCACCCACCGCATTGCGCCACGATCCGTTTAACAATAGAATATTTCAACTGGAACACAGCGCGAAGGAAAAATCTGCTTAGGCAAGAAAACAGTTAGTCATACGTAATGATGGAATAAGTGAAAAATTTATGATTGTCACGTGATGACATTTCTTTCGATCAATACCAGGAGGAATATTCGAATATCGTGATTAGTGTACATTATCTGTCCTGTCATAATTGCTGTTGTGGATAAGTATAACCGTCGAGGGAATACGACGAATAAAATACAATCTTGGGAGATACTGAGGAGTGCAGTAAAGTTCGAGTGCTTGGCGAGTCATCGCAATCTAGTCTGCGGTAATCCCAGTCGGAGTGAGCGAGTCCGATCCTGGTCACGGCGCCAACCCATTCATTAGCTCTAATATAAAAATTGCGACATTCGTCAACAAAAAACTCGTAGATAGGGTGTAACTGGCTCAAAACGGAATTCAAGGTGTCCAATCGAACGTTATCGAAACACATTGCAGTGGTATACGTGCTCGAAACTTCGCTCCGCACCGAATTAAACCGCTCGTTCCTGGCTCAACCGGTTCCATCCGGTTACAAGCCATATCTAGCATCAAAGTCGCCTCAAACCAGACCTTTCCCGACGACTGTGCAGAGCACATGTGCTTCCAGAGAACAGTTTGAGAAGCCAGAAGCCGTAAGTGCGCGTTTAGGTGCCTTAGTGCTATGATGATTTATCGGTAGTTCCATGGGAAATATACGTTGTTGAAAGATCTAGTTCGAGGTGTTGTTGATCGTCACACTTATGGTTAAATTTACGCGTGAGTCCACCCAACGCAATCAGGAATGGTTGAAAAAAAAGTGCTCGAAGGACTACCCGATGCTGATGAACCGCTTGTACAACTTCCCTTTATCCTGCAATTCTTCGTCAGATGACAGCAAGTTTCGCCTAGTCGAGAGGGCCGCGAAACGAAAAGACTACGACTTAAAGAGCCTGTGCTTCTGCCACGGAAGGAGTTCCCTAGCCCTGATCTGAAATCGGCTTGAAGATGACGCTTTCATCCCACAGACTGTACCTCCTGGTTCACACGATTACCATCACCGAATGCGACTATGTGGTGCAAGCACAGTTCTTCCACACGTTCACTGACTTCATGGGCGACGTGAGACTGATCGGGAGGAGGATGAGGTACAGGCCGAGGGTCAGAGGGAGCAGCCACAAAATGAACCTGCAGAGGCTGCGTTCGCCCGACCTGAGGGCCATCATGAAGAGGAAGACCGCGAAGATCAGACACCATCTGAGGACCATTCATCTGTACGTCGAACATAAACAATCTAAAAATAAATCTTGTTAATTTAATTGGTTGGGTTGCGGCCTTGATTTGTTATTACGGCATGTGCTGTCGCTTGCGGTAATTGTGGCTTTTTTTGCAGTGGGGCCCATAATCAAGCGAGCAGGAAGGATGGAAGCGTGGATGGGCAGTTGAGGCCGCAGAGTGCGGCGCCGTCATCGACACCGCCGCCGGTTGTAGAAAGGAAAATCGATGACCCGAATGTGAGTATCATTGTTGTTTATTTTTGCGTTGCGCGCCGGTGGATATTTGAAATTTGGCCAACTTGTTGGAAATGTAATTGTCGGGAGAACAGTAAATGAGGTTTTACAGTTATGGGATGATATAATTAACGCTTTCTTCACAGATAAGATAAATAATCGTGGTATTTTTGGATTCGAGGTTTATTTTTAGAGTGCGGATAACTCGTTATGTAAATTACGTACTAACGTGGATTAAATTGCTCACGAGCAATATTGACATAATGGTGGTATTTACTAATAAAAACTCATGTGATTCAAATCATGTGATTTTTGTGACTAATGACTTTGTAAACACTGCATGCACAAAGTTTTTACCTCTCGCAAACTAAATTTGTTTATTGTTGCTTTAGATTTTTTGGTCCAAGACTGTATTTTCGCACTATTTTAAAACTCGAATAATAAGCTTTAACCGTTTTTCTAACAACTCTTGCAAAATTGTTTGTTTTTTCTTTTTTCTATTTTTATAATTTTTACAGTTTAATTGTGACCGAAGAAAATTGTTCCTTTTGACGTTCTTTATACTTTCGCGCAAATTAAGTCAACTTTTAAAGAAATGTATTCAATATTTAAAAAATAATTTTGCCACTTTACCCTACGTAATTTGAATCTCCTAAATTTGGTCGATATTGATTCCACCGAACTAACAGTGTTTTAACAATGAATCGATTTATTGAAACGCTTCGAAAATAAGTCTTATAAATTTAAAAACTTCGTGACCTAAGATTTGGAATTACTTTTGGCTGGTTAAGTGGGATTTTATACGTATTCAATCTGTCTGCATACTCCTATGTTATTCCAGTAGTATTGAAAAAAATCACCCCTCATCGAATTGGTGTGGAAGACACTTATTTCTTCGCTTAAGCACAATCTTGATACAAATTAAGGACAATTTGTAGGTTTATATCTCTTCTAAATTGCAGATAAAACTGTGACAATGGATTCGCAAAAATAGCCCACATTAAATTTGTCAACATTTTTAAACGACGAGAGGGAGTACGAGCCCTAACAACCAAATATTGGGACACAGACAATTTCTTAAAAAAATCCGGTACATATTTTTGATATCATTCAATTCGTTTGGACTAAATGCAAATTTTGCATGGGCATCTATTTTGGCAGAGAGTGAGGTATTTTGCAATAAAAGTTCTGAAAATAATAATATCGCAGTACTGCAAGGGAAAATCGATAGAAAAAATGAAGATTTGTTCCAAATAGCTTAGTCGTCCATGGCAAACATCGTAAAATATTACGCAGACAGAGGTAATAAAAGGTAAAATTCCCGGTAGGCCACCACTTGTGAAGCCGCGTGATCAACAACTGATGAAAATTTATAAAAGTGGACGACGGAGTACTTCAAGAGAAATTACTACTTGCTGGAATAGCGATAACCAACTAAATTTTTCAAGACAATATTGTCGCGAATGGATACACAAATCAGGCCTTGGTTTTTACATTGTAAATCTTAAATAAAGCTATCTTTGATGGACTTTATTATTTATTTATATTATTTTAGGCAAAAGTAAAACCACAATTAAAAACTGCCCACCAGAAAAATCGGTTAATATGGCAAAAAAAAAAAAAATTGAAAAAATTGAGAAAAGTAATATCTAACGCTGAGTCCAAATTTGATGTCTGGGTGAGATAATAGTCGAAAGAAAGTTATTGAAATAAAAAAGGAATTTTAATATAGATTATCTCAAACAAACAGTCAAGTTTACAAGCGGAAAAATGGTTTGGGGGTGCATGTCTATTAACGAAATTTAAAGACCAGTTAACAACGTTCATGGAAGGGAAATTACAAATGAAAACAAATATCAAGAGACTTTGTAAAAAAATATTAACAACTACTGAAGCAGTCTATCCTGTTGATATTTATATTTTTCAACAGGATGATGCTTCAAGTTACACATCTACAACACTGATTACAAGGAATAATAATATAAATGTTTGCCCTAACCATCGAATAGCCCAGATCCTAATCTAGTAGAGACGTTATGGCGTGAAATAAAAAAATATTTAGGAAATCATCCATGACAAGCGATTGTCAATCTTCAACAGGAAATTTAGCGAGTGTAGGATACGATAACAACTTCTGTGTATTGCAGAAAATTAGTTGAAAGTATGATGGCAAGAATTCCTGCAGTTATTAAAGCAAAAGGAGATGTGACCAGTTGCTGAATTTCCTGTGTTCCAATATTTATGTGTCACAAAATGTTACGTTGTTTTATAGTCACTGTTTGAGCTAGAAATCAGTTTTTAAACAGTTTTGAAAAACGAATTAATTTTGAAATTTTAATTATCTAAAATAAATTACATTTTTGTTAAAAAGTTTGGTAATTTTTTTACAAAAATTTTTTGTCGTCCCAATATTTAGTTGTTAGGCTCGTATAGAAATGTTTTCTTTTTTCCATGATAAAATGATATTAATATAGATACATTATACGTTAAACTGCAGCTTTTTTTCATGTTTTAAGCCCCTAAAAACACTTTAACCAACCAAAAAAATATGACAGAGAAATATTGTAAAAAAGCAGCTGTTTTCAGTCTTTTTTTCCTTTTTTGTGTGTTAAACACCATACAATGGCTAGAGAATTCTCATACTGGCTAGTAACCTATTTTAAAGACCCCTGTTACATTAAATATTTGTTAGTAGTACAATTTATTTAAATGATAATGCCTGTATTAAAATGAAAATATACCTACCATAAATTAATTCAAAATACCTCGAATGATTTTAACACGAGTGTAAAAGTGAACACAAACTCTTAAACCATAACTGCAGGAGTATAAATATTATTACCCAATTTTAAGTTGTTTTTTCAAAAATGTGCCTAGTGGTGCATATTCTATAAAATTTAAATAATATTAATTCGGCAGAATTTTGTGACGTCATTAATTTTTTGGGAGGGGGTAAACGCACAATTTTGATTAACTTTTTACCATGCTTACGATATTCTTAAAATGTTTTCAAGGATTCGGTTTTGCTGTCTGATGTATACATATATAAAAGAACTAATATGTAATAAATTATTGGGATGAACTCAAAAAAGAAAAACTTGAAAATTAAAAAACAACAAAAAAATTATTAAATAACCAGGAACATGTTTCATCATTTGAACAGACACAAACTTTATGTTGATTTTTATACATTTCATTCAGAAATTTTGTCCTGTGTCATTTTCAAATTGTCAATATTCGTCAGTTTTTTCGATTGCTTATTGGATCAGGTTTATTTTCTCATCTAAAGTCTTCCCGTAATAAACTTCTTACATAAAGATTTATTATTGTTAAAAAATCACTCCATTGTTTGGTTTAAAATATTATTCAAAAAGTTCTCATTTGTTGTATTGTTGTTCCTCATTGAAATGCGGCTAAGTCCACATCTGAGTATGGCTTATACAAACCTGAAAACTTCGACGTAAATGACGTTTCTTTGTCACTAAGTTTTGTCTATGTCTTTGGTAATGTTATTTTTCTATATTATAGTTTTATATTTGTAATTAAAGATTGCATCTCTATTGTTTACCTAAGTGCATGGCTTCCCAGCACGGATTAAGGTTCTGTTGGCCTATACTGACATTGTATTCTGTCTGTACAGTTTTTCATGTTGTTAATTCGTAAATCAATAAAGCTATAAATTCTATTTGTTGGTAAAACGGATTTCTTACTTTTGATGCAATTTTTTTCCGTATTCTACATATTATGAATTTATTATATTCATGAAGTTTCTGACTGGTTTTTCTATCGCTAAATTAATTAAAACGAATTAGAATTAGCTCAGACTATTGCACGACTAACAGAATACATCATTCTGTCAATTGACAGGTCTACCACCACCTTGAACGGAATTAAGTAAGTCCACGTCTACCTCGTCCATCTTTCCGGTATTCTAATAATAGCTGCGCCAGAGGAATGCCCCTCCAAAAACACATTTTAGTGACAAAAAGCGGTTAGTTAAAAGTTAACTCTAATTTCTTTTATTTTCAATTGCAAGGTATTATCATTTATGTTATTCAGGAATTGCAAGAATTCATTCATTTCTTGACCTTCTACCTCCCATAGACAGATGACATCATTCACTCGGAACTTCTTTCTCTGTGTAATACACTTATCATTTTGAATATTTCGTTGTCTCAGGTGAGGTAAAACGAAAATGACAACTTAATATTTATCGTTAAAAAATTGTGACGTTAAAAATGGAGTTCAAAGCCAGGATTACAATTAATAAATTGTCAATCTAACCGGTTTGTCGTAGATAAAATACATAATTAATTCGCATTAAAATTTAATCAGTGATTAACTCGCGATCTGACCATTCGATTGGTTGTGTCTGATCACGTGATCGATTAATTGCATGAAGAAGTGTTTTTGTAAACCGGCAAGTAGTCGAATTTGGAATGTCGAGTGAGTTTGAAAATGCACATTTTTCGCCTTGATTTTTTAGTACGAGAAAACTTCAAATTTATTAAAACTGGTTTGTATAACATTATTTGGTGCACGTGCACCAAATTTCAAAATCATGTAACTATACTTTGAGAAAATAAAAGTAAAACTAAAATGCACTTTATGGTTTTATCAGTAGGGTGTAACTGTTGAGATTTTTTAGATTATTGACCTAGTAGTTTGAAAGCCGCATGTTTTCACTTGTAGGTCATGTTGATAAAAGTGTTTAATCTTGTACCCATTTCAATGTAATGGATTCATTAATAAATGCTCTACGCTTCGTTTCTTATTCATTCACACTAGGAATATTTTTAAGGCAACGATCTCCCAAGTAACCTTCGAAGTATCGTCGATTTAAAGTTTGACGACATGACAACATTACATGTAATGACTAATTTACGAAAGTACGGAACGTAAAAAGTACCGTAAAATTCTAACATTCAAGCGTAAAAATTACATTTAAGATGTAGGTTTAATGGAAAATCACCAAAGAAAAAGATGCAAACGAACAGGACTTCTAAAACGGTTACAATTATTATTATTGAAATTATGTAGTTCATAAATTATACAATGTTACAAGAGAAGATTTAAATATGTAACGGAAGTAACATCTTGAGCTTTATGGACGTTTTATTGGAAATAAGTAGTTTAATATAATTATTATTACAACGTTTACAACGGTTGTTTATATCTAAAAAATAATTTTATATTTTATTGTTTTGTTATTTTGCACAATAGAAAATACAAGTGACGTCATGATAACATTGAAGTTATTAAGTTAAGTATTACAAACAAAAAATTGTGCATGAAATCACCGAATCTTCGTCATAATGTGACTGTTCTAGTTCTCTCTAACAGTGTTGAATGATAGTTATGTATACTATTGACATTATTCAAATTCAGATGTTTTCAAAGCTTGAGGTGTTTGACATACGCTTTTGACCCGAAATCTTTTCGAACGAATAATAAAACAAAATCAACGGTATTGCGTCACCAGACTTTTTTGTTGGTGTTTGATTAATAAAGTGTTTTCATTTGCTAAATTTAAAAAGTTGTCTAGAGTAGGTATACATCGACCTAAATCTACAAGTGGCTATTCATCTTTGTATGATAAAGTGCAGTTTTGTTTTGAGTTCAAAAATTGTGAAAATTACGTGAAACTAGAATCTGTGATTTTAAGAATCATTACTAAGTAATAGTGTTATTTTGAATTCAATCTGTTTTAATAATTTTTAATTTTTCAAGTTTTACTCACTTTTCATGACCTGCCCCGCATTAAATACCTTCGGCCAAACTCGGCAGTAATCGACATGCCTTTACTTAATACGTATTTGGCGACTCGTTAAGTTGTTAGCGGGCAATTCTTGCTGATAGTCAATAGTTTGTTGTGGTTAAGTGTTGCCAATACTTCAGTATTTTCGAGCCAAAATTTCTAAATTATATAGCTGAAGTGGTACTACGTTGTGTCAAATCACACGCGTCCACGACCATGTTAATGCCAGAAAAATTATATTTGACCTAGTAGATCGTGTTGTTGATAATTAACGCCCTCTGGCATTGTTTGTGAAATGAATAATTTACTAAAAGACATCAGTTACGCTAACCATGAGCGGAATACTTTTTTTCTCGAAGGATGTGAATGAAATCGGTCAAAATAATAAAATAAATAATAACTGGACCTTAAAATATTTAAAACTCAAACTTTAAAAGGCGCCAAATATTTTTATCAAAACTATTACAGCTTATTTATTTCACTAGCTGCGAACCGCTTCCTCTCTTAACCTCAACGATTTCTCGTAACTAAATTTAGTTTTCTGATGATGCCGCGTATAACTTTCGAGTTGGAGGATCAAAGAACTAGCGATTTAACTTCCCAAAGATTACTCATTTTAATGGTAATAAACTTTAATTGCACTTTATTGGCCTCTTTGACACTGTATATGTCTGGCAATCAATCAACAACTGTTGGCAAAAATGTTGAAGTTTTTCGAATTCGATCCTTCACTATTTGATGGTCATTAGTCACAGTTAAGAATTTATATAAATGGAAAGCACGTAATTGAAATCAAAGGAAATTTCATATTATTTACCATTGATTAACCATTTAATGTTTTAATTGAAATTAATTGTTGTTTTAGTCAATTTCTGTGGAGCAGTTGTCGTCAGGCGCCAGCCCAGAACAAACAACAGCTTGGTTAGTGAGAAATCGTTTCGATAGATACCTCGAAACTTTTGCCAATTTCTCAGGAGCAGACATGCTACGCATGTCAAGAGATGACCTCATTCAAATTTGCGGACAAGCTGACGGAATCCGTTTGTATAACGCCGTACATCTAAAGTAAGTTTTATGTTTTTATGTCACGTTGAATGTACAGTTGCGGTTTTTCGTTTAAATTTGATGTCACTGACTGGATTTAGAACGAACTAAGTGATGCGTCTTGTTTATAGGACTATAGCACCAAAGCTGAAGATCTATGTTTGCCGTCAAAACACCTCGATCTTCAATGCTGTGTTTCTATCGACACATAGTAATATCGAATTATTAGAGAAATTATCGGCCTTAATGGGAATTTCTCAGGATCAAGTACACGACATTTATATTGAAGGACCTCATGCGATTCATGTGCGATTAAATAACGACGTGATTCGTCATATTAAAGAAGAAACCATGTTTTCGGTAGAAATCTTACAAGAAAATGGAAGTTTTATCTTTCTGTTAAAACGTACTGTTAAATGAAAAAAAAAAAAAATGTGATCGGAATGTGTTACGCTAATTCTACGTGATTATCACTACTACTCAGTGTCTTATTTGTATGCCTTAACACAAATTTAGGTGATATTGCATGATAAATATTGTTATCTCAGGTTTTAAAAGTGTGCTACGATATTGATTTTAGCTATATTTTTTAGGTTACTTTGAGATTATTTTTTATGTTTACAATTCTTATTAATTATTATGTATATCCTTTATTGTTGTTCATTATAATTAGTAGATTTATTGATGTTGCTTGTTATTCTAATCATTACTGTGTTGATTTAGTTTCTTATTATATCGAACCGTACAATATATGTTAGTTTTAGACTATATTTTTGATGTACAAATTATAGGTTTGCTCCTACTTATTGTTGTGTATAAATTAGGAAGGAGGGTAGTAGATTTTATCCGTACTTTAAACGAGTAATAACATCCAAAATGTGCCTTTATATATATTATGTATTCAGCAGAGGAATTTTAAAATGTAATCAGAGTGCCATAAAGTATATTCAGCTTATTCAACCTTGTATCAGTTTAAAAAATGTCTTTATTATAAAAATTGCAGTATACAAGCTATGTTAGTTCTAACTTGACTGACTTACAATGTTCTACTATTTCTCGATCTATGGTTGGTTACGTTAGTTCTAGTAATATAACTTCGTCTATAAACCGGTACAAATCGATCGTCTATCGGCAGTGACTTCTGAGATCTCTTGGTGTTATTCCTTGCATCACTCTTCAAATCAATGGGATCTGACATAGGCTGCGTGCCATTAGACACAATCTTCTCGCTCTTCCTAGTCTCTTCCGTAAAATTAGTAGGCAGTGGAATCTTCACAAACAAAATATCATCAGCTTTATTCGATTCGTTGGTTATTTGGTACTGAACATTTTTGAGATCATTGGACTTTATAATGTCGATAAGGTTCTGAATCGCGGCGAATTTGGGGTTGGCTTCACCGTTGGAGGCCTTCATTAACCTGTAGTCAGAGTCCGTACTATTGGGAGGCATTTCTTTGTGGAGGTATGACAAGGGCCAATGTCTGGGTTGTCCGAAACCTCCAGGTTTGGGCGGGTCTAGAAACTGGGCTTCGAATTGCATTTCGTATTCGTCCAAACTGGGGCGTGGAGGGGGTGGTGTAGGCGGCGCCGGAGGACGATCAGGGCGGTTGCCAGGTCTGTAAGGAGGGGGCCGATGTTCGGGTAAGTAGTTGTTGCCACTTGGGGGCCAGCGTGAGGGGCCGGGGCGTGGCGGAGGACGGTCAAAGCGGTCGATGAGGTTGTGGATGTAAGGGTAGTATCTGTCGCTACATTTTCGCCATTGGGTGCGTCCGGGGCCCACGTAACACCTAGAACAAGTAGAGTATTAAACGGTTAATAAATCAGCACTCAAATGAAAGGTTGAGGGCTTTTTTGGAGAAACCTCGAAAACAACCCCGAGATTTGAGATTACTCATACCGTTTAAAAAATCTTTTTAAGAAGACAAAAAAACATTTTCTTTTGGGCAGCTGCTGTTGCTTGTACGTGATTATCCAATTCTTTCGAAATACGTATAAACATAGATACTCGAAGTTAACTATTTATGTAATTACTAAGAGTTCATTTTGTCGTTTGTTATCTGGTTTAAATATATTTTCTATCATCGCACTTGTGTGGACCACGGTACCTTCCAATTTGTGGCCCCACGGTGCTTTCTAGAGGTTAATTCAGGGGCGAGGTAAGTTCTGCCGAAATAAACTTCGTGCAATTTTTTTATATTCTTGAGGTTATGATTACGAAACGTCGATAAAACATGAAAGTAGCGAAATGGATTCTATTACAATATTTTTCTAATCTTCGCTCCGAAAATAAACATGCAGCTTTATTGTATAAGTACGGAACACTCTGTATGTTTGAAAACACTTTTAAATTATAATTTTATTAGACTGCATTGAAGAATTTTTTCAACAGTCTATAGCGAATGTTTAATTTTCCGCCGTTTGACCGTTGGAATACCCCGTGTGAATTTATTTTACATGAGTATTTTAGCAGAAATGGTGAAAAAAAATTTGAATTTTGTGTTGTCATTAACTATTGAAAAATAAATTATTTTCGAAAGACGTATTTAAATCGAGTTTACTAATTTCTTTTTGGTGAATTCTATGTAAAGTTCGTAATATCTTATTCATCCACACAGCGCGAAAATTATGTTCTAATGAATAATATTGCAATATTTTAATTACGATTCGTGTAGTGTGCGATGCATCGATGAAAAAAAAACTCTGCAAAAAATGTCTGATAAGGTGTCGGCGAAAATTTTTTGTTCATTTTTCGTGTTACGCAGTTATGGAGTTCTTTCGGTTTTAACTTTGTCGAGTGCGTGTGCGCTGGGTAAATTAATTTGTTTAATTGGTCTGTTTTTCTTAAAAATAATTTGGTTGGAGCTTAAAGTGAAAGGTGAGTGTTGTGATGTGCCCATGAGGACGGAGTCTGCAAGGATTTGCGCGGAAAGAAAGGAAATCGGGATCTAAAGGGTAAATATTAAACTCTATATTGTGCCTTATTTCTTCAGTTCTTTTATTCTAAGTTGATATATAAAAAAACGAATGCTAAGGGAGAAGTAGTTGTATTGTACAAAACATTACTTAACGACTTAATAAATGTGTTTGTTTCAACACAGACTACAGTTTCAACAAAAACTCGAACGTTAATATCTTGTCAGATATTTATCTTTTAAAGCTTGCCTTGTTTGATGAAATAATTTAGAATATTTGATAGGTTTTTATCAATATTAATTTAAATCCAATTTTGATTTTTATCTCATTACGGACAGTTTTTACGTTCTACGCAGCACTGCAATTAATAGACTATCGCTATTTTTTTGTGAAACATTTAAATTTCAGAATTGTTTTGAAAAAATTCAGACAATCTTTTTAATTGAAAACAGTGGTCTTCTACAACACCCTCAGATCACGTCCCTCATCTTCAAATGTTGTGCAAATGCCTGGTTGTGTAAAAAAAAAATAGTGTTCACAGTATGGTTAGCAGTGTTTTCTAGCAGTATATTAATTGCGCCAAATATAGGCAATCAAATACACACGCAATTTCATTCACACAAATTCAAATAGCTAAATGATCCACAGAGCAAGACGTTCCACCACAGAGTTCCACGTTTAGAGTTATGCTTGTAAAGTGCGCGAAGCGCCCGTATCTCTATTAAAAACCCGGCATTATCCCACCTCGCACTAGTGCCTAAAAAGTTAGGTTATGGAAGCAACGCGTGCCATTAAAGAGTGCACGAATGCGAAATTCAACAATTTTTTGTTGCGAAAGGACAGATTTGCAGAACATTTGAAGGTGAGGAGTTTGTGCGAAATCGAGAAGTGGATTTTGTAAAATTTTACTGCTAATTTTTAGGCAAACATGTATTTTGTCCGAAACTTTTTTTTTGGAGTATTTTGAGTCTGTAAAATTTTGCTTAGAATTTACATATATTGTGATTTCAAAACTTTTTCTGCACCGTCATTAAAAATTAATATGTATAAAGTTAATGTTAACTTTCTTTGTGTACACAAAGTTTCAAGTGTTTTTTGTTGCAGTGGGTTCGTAAAAGAAGATGAGGGAATTCGCTAAATTGTAGCAGAAGAAGAAGCCTAAAGGTTAGAATTTTGCATTAATTTTTAATTAGGTGTTGTTTTTTTTAACATTTTTTTTTATGTTTTATGAAAGTTATTTTGATCGGTAATTTTGTCTTATTTTTGTTTTATCAATTTTTTTGACGTCTTTTTCTTACATAATTTTTAAATATTTAATTTTAATTTTTATGCACTCTTTTTCTTATGTGCGTATGTCCAGACAATTTTTTTCTTTTGATTATTCGTGCAGAGGAAAAAAATTAAATTTGTTTTAATTTTTTTCCCTTTTATTTAGTGTTTGATTCTGTTCGCCATTTAAGGATTTTAAACATATCATTAAGCCATATGTAAAATAAAGTTCGCCGGTTTTTACTTCCCGAGCTTAAACTAAGGAAGTGCAGTCGTTTCCAAAAAAAATCGGGCAAGATGAGCAAATCAGGTTCTCATAGTTCAATGAAAAGCGATGGGAATGTGACTTTCATGTCAATATCATTTGCCTGAAATTTTTTGGAAACGACGGTATAGTAATCGAGTCTCTCGGTCGAATGGCCATTTTTATATTTTCTCGACGTTTCATGATCCCTACAGTACGAAAAAAGTCCGTTTCCGTCTGTTTGTCTGTGTAGTCTCTGTATCCATTTTTATTAGACACGTAATCTCCGAAACTGCTGGACCGATTGTTGTTAAATTTTGTATGTGTATTAGAAATATCCGCTTTAAAACATAATAACAGTTTACCATTAGGGTAACGCATCCCGGTGGTGGTCTAGTGGTTACGAGTCAGGAATACCAGTGATCAAAATGTTTTTGACGTGATAACGTCTTATATATAAATCGATGGAGCCGGCTGCACGCTCGAAAAAGCATGACTCATGCGACGTTACCTCATTTCTATGGTTACATCGCTCTGTCACGTTCCATGTAAGGCTTGAAGTGCAAGCGAGAACGCGGAACGAGCGACAAAGAGGCACAATCGGCCTTCGCGTTCGGCAGCGTTCGCCATCCGTCTCTCTCCTACTTGAGTGAGCGATGCGTCTGCGTGGACAGCTGCTATATTATAGTACATTTACATGTTTTGGTTGAGTATCAAGTGCAGTGAAAAGTGAATGTAGTGTCAATTTTGACGTGACAACGATAATATTTTAAGAATTTTATTTAAATTGTTTCGAACGACGATTTATTTTGCAGAACTGCTTACAAACGCACCATGGAAAAAAAGCCTGACAAACCAGAGGATGTTACGAATAAGCCTTTACCTTCAATGAGTGAACCCATGGAGGTTCAAGATGCTGTAGCATTTACTTTAGCAACGCCATTCGCGCAGCCAATAATCGCTGCTTCAAAATCAAAAGCTATGTCAAAAGCCCAAAACCATTCCATCAGTATTTTCTTAAGACGTTGTCACGTTCAACTATCGTCAGTAAACCGACTTTACAGACAACCGAGTTTTTTTAGATTAGAGTTGACCATGGAAATATATGCCAATTGTCTTTTTTTGTAATGTAAAACATCGAAGGCACCAAATGGTTTTTTAGAACGTGAAACCTTCTCGGGAGGCCCAACTGTCTTTTTTAAAAATGTAAAGCATTCTCGGGAGCCCCAAATGTCTCTTTTAATGTGAAACCTTGGCGTCGGTCGCATTTGTCTTTTTCAAAATTGTAAAAACCTTCTCGGGAACGCCAAATGTTTTTTTAAGAATGTGAAACCTTCTCGGGGGTTCTAAATGTCTTTTTTTAAAATGTGAAACCTTCTCGGGGCCCCAAATGTCTTTTTTTAATGTGAAACCTTCTCGGGGATCCCAACTGTCTTTTTAAAAATGTAAAACTTTCTCGGGGGCGCCAAATGTCTTTTTCTTTAATGTGAAACCTAGAGTGTCTCAACTGTCTTTTTAAAAATGTAAAACCTTCTCGGAGGCCCCAAATGTATTTTTTTAAGAATGTGAAACTCTCTGGGTGGGCCCAATTGTCTTTTTTAAAAATGTAAAACCTTCTCGGGGGTGCCAAATGTATTTTTTTAAGAATGTGAAACCTTCTCGGCAGTTCCAACTGTCCTTTTTTAGAAAAGGCGAAACCTCGGGGATCTCAAGTGTCTTTTTTAAGAATATTAAATCTTCTCGGGGCTCCCAACTGTCTTTTTTTCTATTACTCTGTGACTAGTACCTTCTATATTGTTTTTACTCCATAGAGGTTATCACGAAAAAGTAAAATTCCCCAAAATCCAATTTTATAGTTTTTCAGAGAAGCAGTATTTGTTGAACTGTACTTCAAAAGCGAAGGAAGTTCTGTCGAAATATTTTTCAACGAATTTTTTTCATAGTAACTCATATTTACACTTTTTATTATAATATACTCCCATATTTGTGGTTTATGAGTCTGCCTTGATTTTTATCAAAACTAGATACTTTACAAAATTTTTTTAGAAAACTTGAGGTTTTCTCAAGAAGTTTGGAATCGACATTTTGTTCTACCACAGTGAATTTGTTTGAATATTTGTATTCAGTCTTGTCTAAATGACTATACCAATTTTTTTGTTTTTACCAGTAGAACACTCCCATATAAATAATTTTAGAATTTACTTAAATTTGAGTGTAAAATTTGACGATGACAGTTAGAACAAGTTAAAAGGTCATTTTTATAAACATACCACTGATATGGAAAACCGTCCCAATTGTCTTTTTTAAAAATGTCAAACCTTCTCGGGGGCGTCAAATGTTTTTTTTTTTTTTAATTTGAAACATTCTCAGAGGTCCCAATTGTTTTCTTTTTAATGTAAAATGTTCTCGGGGGCGCCAAATGTGTTTTTTTTTTTAATGTAAAATCTTCTAAAGTGTCCCAGCTGTCTCTTTTAAACATGTAAAACCTTCTCGGGGTCCCAGTTGCCTTTTTTAAAAATGTAAAACCTTCTAGGGGGCCCCAAATGTTTTTTTTTAATGTGAAACCTCGGTGGTCCCAACTGTCGTTTTTAAAAATGTAAAACATTCCCGGGGGGCGCCAAATGTCTTTTTTTAAGAATGTGAACCCTTCTCGGGGTTCCCAACTATCTTTTTTTAAAAATGTGAAACCTTCTCGGGGGCCCCAAATGTCTTTTTTTTAAGAAGGTGAAACCTTCTCAGGAGTCCCAACTGTCCTTTTTTAAAAAAGGCGAAACATTGGGACAAGTGTCTTTTTTTAAGAATATTAAATCTTCTCGGGACTCCCAACTGTATTTTTTCTATTACACTATGGCTAGTACCTTCTATATTTGTTGGACTGTACTTCAGAAGCGAGGGAAGTTCTGTGGAATAACTTTCGACCTTTTTTTGTAGTAACTCATATTTACACTTTTTAATATAATATACTCCTATATTTGTGGTTTATGAGTCTGCCTTAATTTTTACCACAATTAGATACTTTACAAAAATTTTTGTGCACATAGCTGATATTTGGGTTACGTGCATAACGACTGCCGCTGGACATGTAGATTTCTTACAAAACTTGAGCTCTGCTCGCATTAGTTCGATCCCATCCATATCGATTTTTTTTTCTACCACAGTGAATTTGTTTGAATTTTTGTCTTCAGTCCTGTTTAAATGACTATACCAATTTTTTTTGTTTTTACCAGTAGAACAACCCCGTATAAATAATCTTAGAATTAACTTAAATTTGGGTGTAAAATTTTTATATACATTACATACCACTGATATGGAAAACCATCCGAAAAACCACACTGATGATCAGGTCTGCAACAGTAATCCCAAGTGTTGGCATCACCACCCTCTAGTTCGCAGTACCAAAATCCGGCCACTCGGTTTTCTTTACATAAAGTCCCTCGTCGACAAGGCCATCCACTCACGCTATATACTCTCCAAGTGCCAATGGCGTTGTAAATATCTACAAATTAAAACAACAACTATAAGTGAAAGAAAATTGATAAAATGGTACCGTTGTCATAACGATCATCTGGACGACCTATATGGTTATGTACTGGTTCATTCGCAACAGCTCGACATTCTGGATTGTAGATATCCCAAGCAAAAAGCCAGGAATCAGGATCAGGAACATAGTCGACATTTGGTAGTAAATCTCTTTGTAAAATATCTGACAATTTACAATTTGGTTCCCATTTTGGACTCCTCGTACTAAAAGTTTTCAAATGTAGAAAGTAAAGTCGGTGACTATTTGTTTACATAATACTTGTAGCTGAGAGATACGCATTGGAAAAGAGTATTTTCTCTCAATTTCGAACACTCCGCTTTACATTCTTCTTCCGTGGCTACTTGAAGTGCTTTTTTAGTAGCTTGTCGTAAGAGTCCAGCAGGAGAACCCAAGCCAGCGTAGCATACTAAAAATACCCACAAAGTGACAAAGAACTAAAACTTTTATGAATTTAAAAAAATCATTTTTACATTGATCAATTCGCATTCCTGGGTTCTTCCAAGGCTTGCCTCTGACTCCAAAATGATGCGGTTCACAACCATGACCAAAGCTACCTCTTTCGTAAATTTCAAACCCTGGTTCGGGGACAAAATGAATCCTAGGATCCATTTCATAATAAGGCCAGTCTGTGAGTAAGCAGTTGTCTACTGGACCTCCAATAACGGGAGACCCATACCTTTACAAAATACACAGTAAATATAAAACTTTCACTCATATAAAGTCATACAACCTGAAACTGAAAGCTCTACAAGTAAAACGAACAGATCTCAAACATTCAATCTGGCATTCCACTATTGACTTGACTGACAAAGAGTCGCGAACAACTTTATGGTCTAATCGTTGAGCACTTCTCACTCTCCAGAAACATTCTGAAACAGAAAGAAGAGGTCTCGTTTTTAAATAAAATGTATCTACTCTGAAATACAAGCATCCACTTTTCAAAACAAACAGATTTTAAAGTTTTAGGTACTTACGGAACGAGGTGCACGAAAATGTTGGTAGCCACTGCCAAACAAAGAATAGTTAGTTGGTTTAATTAAAAGGTTTAAGTACCCTGGCATTGGGTGTTGTTTAGTCAAGCACTTTTGTTGTCTGTTTGTTTCGATGTATTGTGTGTCGGTTGTTATGTCAAAAGGAAAAAGAAAAACTGTTACTGAAGTGTAGTCACCATAAAGAAAATTATTGGGAGAAACTGGGTATAAAAGAGAGAAGGTCTTTATTGTACAAAAAATTAATTTTTAGCTTCTCATATTTTATTGGGTTCTATTGTGGGGACTGGGTTGACAAGAAGACTTTTTAAATGATAGTATATTAAATAACTTTTATACCCAAAAGGTTTTTTGACTTTCTTTGGAAAATATAGTTGATTTATAATCGTATCTAAAATATCCACGAGCAAAAGCATCAAGCCTTTAATAATTGTCAACTGTGGCAGGTTTTTAATCATTTGGAATCAAAGTGAATAGTTTGTTCACCAAAATGTCTACCAAATTATTATCTAGTACTTCTTCTAATTACAAGTAAACTTTGTACTATGCTACTTTTCCATGTTGATGTGTAAATCCATGTTTTAAATGAATGTTATACTTCTTTGTGTCGAAAATGGTAAAAATGTCGTCTACGTACCTTTGAAAAGTCTTTTCTTGCAATTTAGTTCTAAAGGGGTTTTCAAAGCAAATGGAAGGAAAGACACTGAGTTGCCTTGAAATGATTAATATTTTGTTTAGTTTGTATCAAACAAACCAGAAAAGACACTTTTTCTACGTTTTAGAAGTTTCTTTCACCACTTAGAGGTTAAAAAGTTTTCAGAAAATTTAATATGAAGTGGTTAGATTTCAGCATCAAGCTTCTAAAATCTCCTTGTCAACCCGAAACATAACGTAGGACCCAATAAACCGTCAGGATTAACGAAATTAGTTGAAAAAATTGTAATCAAAATTGATCAAGAAATTACTCTGTCAAATTTAGGAGATTTGAAAATAGGATTTAGATTTCTAGACATTTTTAAGAGTTTGTAAGTGTTAAAGAACAATGACAGTGTGATCAAAACCCATGTTGTATTTTTTTTGACTAAAGCAGCTAAGGTATAACAAGATAATAATCAGTCATTGGAAAAAATGTTTAGAAACATATTTACACTACAAATTTAATTTTATTTCAACAAGTGTATCATTTTTTTTATAAAGTGTGAAGTTAGTGTTATTTTGAAGATCCAAATTTCTCTCATTTTCAAAAATATATTTATCTTTTCTCACTGTCATTTTTCTTAGTCTAACTACTTTATCTGATTAAATTAATTTTGGTCGTCTTTCTAATTCATTTTATTCGTCCAAATGGAAAAATCGTAATTTATTACACATTAAACATTTTTGAAGATAATGGCATTAATTACATAAATAAAACGATTAAAACAATAAATTAATTGCAATTGTTCTAAAGAAATACTGTACCGCTGTTATCTTTCCCTCGGATTCTAGGTTGTTCACACTTTTTCATATTATTCATAGTGTAAACATCGAAATTTCTATCCGGCTCCAAATCAGTATAAAAATCTAATTCTTTATAATTTCGATTACTCAGGTAACAATTTTCAATGGGGCCATTTAAAGGTCCCGAACTATATCTAAAATGACATTACAAAAATAACAACACAAATCGTAGCTAAAATTTTACCTATAAGCATAAGAGGCACATGGGAATTCTTTTTCTTTGAAACACAACAGCTCACATTCATAAATATTGGGAACTGAAATAAACTTCTTCACTATTCCTTTAGTTAGTCGAAATCCGGCAGCTGATCGTAAAGAGCACTCTGCAAAAGAGTCATTTTGGAATATCATGTACTTTACAACCACTTGATTGATGTTAGTATCACTTACCGTCCTTGAGAAAATCATAATAATAGGGATACCTTGGCTCTGCCGGAAGTATGGCATTACTGTAAATATCATCCGGATTTGGTTTACCAGGAAGTGGTAAATAACTACCCGCATGAGCAGGCGGTCTTTGGGGACGTTCCGGTAAATAGCTTCCACCTCCACTGGCAAATGGAGGCTTGAGGGCGGGTTCTGGTAAATAACTTCCACCACTGGGCGGTCTGGGGGGGATATCTGGTGCGTAACTTCCACCACTGGGAGGCCTGGGTGGCAATTCCGGTAAATAACTTCCACCACTAGACGGAGGTTTTGGAGGTGGTCCTGGTAAATAACCGCCACTTCCGCCACTACTGGGTGGTCTGGGGGGGACATCTGGTAAGTAACTTCCACCACTGCCGCCACTACTAGGTGGTCTAGGGGGGATATCTGGTAAATAACTTCCTCCACTTGGTGGTTTATTTGGAGGGAGTTCTCCATAATTGTGGAATTTTTCTTCATACTTGTTTAGACCCCAGAAATCAAAACTTTGGCTGTGTCCATAACCATTGTACTGCAAATTTACTCCGCCTTGTCCGTAACTACCACCATATTGCCCCCAATTCTTGTTTCCTCCTTCTGGAGGAGGCAAATAATAATTTTTCCTGTCGAAATCGCGAGGGTTGTAATTTGTTCCATAGGAGCCTCCATAGCCACCCCACGAAGGTTTATTTATTCCCCAGTAGTCTCTGTCTCTATCCGTATTATAGTATTTATGAAAATCCCTATCGTCGTCATAAGGCCTTCTATTAGGAGGTAAATACGGCTCGTAAATATGGTAATCATATGGTGGTGGGCCATGATCATAGTGCTCGTAATGATAATTGTGTGAGTGTTCAGAATGATGTGAATCATGATATGCAAAGTCTGCAAAAAATAAAACAATTTTGCTTTCTCGTCAAACTTTTACTCGATTTAAAAAATACATTGCCAATTAAGCGAAACGCAGACACAATACATCCCATATTATCTCACTTGGAGAAACATATTTACCTCCACGCCTGTTACCGCCAGGTCTGTAACCATCGTCACCGTACGGAGGTCTCACATCGTAACCGTAGTCAGGGCGGGGTCTCCTGTTACCACCATACCTCCTGTCCTCTTCCCACCAATCATACGGTCTCTGGTCCTGACGTCGATCGTAGTAACCGCCGTAACCGTTACCGGGATAGTAACTTTGTCTCTTACAGTTTGCGCTGGCCGCATTTCGGTCTCGTTCGTAGTAATCGTATTCGGTATCTGGATAAAGATCCCGTCCTATATCTAGATGGGACAAGGGTATTTCCAGTAGTTCGCATTCGCCTTTGCCACGGCCCGTTGGATCTAATCTGAAATAAACGTGAAATTTTCTAATTAATGGAATTATATACAAGGATGCGTGAAAGTGACATCACAATAATGCGCTCTAATGAGTTTCCGCTATTTGGGTGCACAAAAGCGCAGTGGTGATGTAATTTTTATGCGGATATCTGTGATGCTCTTGCTGATTGTTTGGAGTTGCAAGGACAACTTTTTTTAGGTCATTGTTGTAGATCGATTGATTTGCACCAGTGAGATATTATTTCCGACATTGAAAACGTGTTACAGATAAAATGTTTCGTGTATTTTTATTGTCCTCAAGACATTTGATCTTAATGTTTTGGTAAGAATTGATTTAGAAGTACTCCTAAGGATAAAAATGATACAATGAAGAACAGCTAGAAATTGCAGAAAAAAGCAGCTACGCAAAATGATGAAAACAATATTAACTCAACAAAAAAATACAAATAACACATCTAAAGAATATCCAAAGAAGAATGTTACAATCTAAAAAAAAGGAAAGAATATTTCGAAATCGTATCGTACGAATACACAGAATTAGAAATAAATACATAGTAAACCATAGGAAAAGAAGTTAAAACAATTTTAAAAAATGGAAAGCCAGAGAGACGTTTAACAGATAAGTTACCAACAGAATTAGTACAAATAGACTTAGAAACAACTCCAGAAATCTTTCAATGAAGAATCATTACCACTAAAAATGAAAAAAAAATGGCGGATTTATCACTTTCAAAAATCTTAAGAGTTAATAGAGAAATAAAAGATTCTATAAAAATATGGCATCTGCAAGAAAATCATAAGAATCACAAAATTAGTATAATAAAACTATTACCAAGTTTTCGTGGAATATAATGGGAAAATATCAGTTGTACATATAAATATTGAATTTACAATTAAACAAGGATGAATCCTATCACCTGTTCTCTTCTTACACACCATAAATTGGATTATACAAACTCTAACTACAACACAAAAACCCTACAATATACACCTAGAAAATTTAGAATCGGCGGACGATATATTCTGATTTACAGAACACTTTAACTTCTTACGGGATAAGATAGATGACCTGAAAACTATTGCTGAAATGGTGGACATAGAAATAAATGCATCAATAATGTCAAGAAAATTTGAATATCGAAGGAACTACCTACTCAATAAACATAAAAAGAAACTCAGCTCTTTAAGTGCAAGATTAATTGACTGCTATTTATACATACAGCAGCAATTTAACACAAGTTAAATGGAATCAACATAAACTCAAATGACAGTTTGTAACACAATGGACCGTTGAACTTCAAAACGGGTTCCCACCCGTCAAATTTCTTTGTAATTTTTTGTTTATGTCATTAGAAAATTCCTTCATCTCGTAATAATTGTCCTTGCAAAATACTTACAAGCATGATGCTCTTTCAGAAATAATTGAGAACAACACTCAAAAGATTAATCATCGTGTCTACTGAAGTAAGAAATAAAAAAGAAGACGATGAAAAGTGACTTTTTACTTAATTTGAACACGTTCGTAATTACGTCGTAAAAATGAATATCTTCAAAAATTACTATTGTTACTTTGGTGTTTATTTAACTACTTTTTAATTAGCTCTTTAATTGAATTTAATATTTTATCTACGAATGTCTGAATACAATGGCATAATTAATTTTTTGTCGTTCCGTTATTATGATATGCACGTACCATTTCTTAGAACATCGTACGTCGTAGGTCATTATATACAGGATGAGTCACTAAGCGCGCGGTTCTCGATATCTCATTAATTTATTAATTAGAAATCGAAGAAAAAATTAAAGCCCAAAGTCGAACAGTTCCTTGCAGACTGTACTTTAAAGTTATTTTTAACTACACAGAGTTCTGTTTTTAAGGCGTAACACGCAACTTTTTTTTAATGAAACAATATATACAGGCTGATTCAGCTTAAATAATCCGTTTGCTTTTTTCTAATAGGCAACTCAACTGTGTTTACAAAAAATTTAAAACTCTGGAATTTTCAAATCTCGATATTTCAGCATTTTCAAATGGAACACCTTGTATTTTATTACTGTACCTTACCCTATCTTTTGTCTTTATTCTTCTAATACGCTTCTCGCTTAAAAAAGTAAAAAATAGGGGTACACATCAATTTTGAATATAGAAAATACTCAACAAAAATGAAGCAGAACAAAAAATAGAATAAGGAAACTGAAATATCGAAATTTGAAAATTGAAATTATTAAACATTTTTATAAACACTCTGTATATGAAAATTTAATCCCATTTTTACCATGATAAAACATTTACATTTCTTTATCTCTCCACAAAATGTTGTAACACAGATTTTAAAAATAAGCTTACTGTGATTTTTTGCGAACCAAACTATTACCAAAAAATTTCAAAAAAATTGGAATAACGTGGCAACGTCCCATTGGAATTTCAAAAGTATAGCCTTTACTATTTCTATTGAAACAGCACTTGTTGATTTAAATTTGGCAACGTTTGTATTCAGACAATTTTCTAACGGAAAGCTGTTACTAATTGCTAAATTTTAAGCAAAATTCTGGTGGTATTTCACTAGAAATGGCAAAGGCAATAAACTGTGATTGCAAAGCTTAGAAAGAGGAAGTTTCAATAAAAAAAAACTAAGTTGTGTTAGCCTTCAAAAAAGAAATTCTCTGTATAGTTAAAAATAATTTTAGAGCATAGCCCTCAAGGAACCGCACAACTTTCGTCTTTGACTTTTTTTCTATTTGATATAGAAGAAGGCGTTTAATAAATCACCTTCTGTATGTATCTATGTGAAGTTTATTATAAAATACTTAATTTGTTATTAAACAATTATTTTATTATTACGTGTAAAATAATTTTTATATACATATAGATAATAATTCAGAATTTTTGACCGTTAGCAGCACAAAAATTCTACATTTCTTCACATAAACATGTTATATTTTTTGGAATTAGCACGTCGGGATCTATATCCCTGAATTTTTTGAAAATTTTTAGACTACTTTTTCAAAAATGAAATTTTCCACAATGTATACACCCTTAAGCAAATTTCGATCCATTTTCGACGATTTTCGAGCTTTAATTAAATGCATTTTCTTGTAAATTTCGCAGCAGTAACGTTCGGCCTCGTTTCTTCGATAACTCTTAACAGTTTTTCCAAAATCGCCCATTGAAATATCGCAATTTGTAAAAATTTCAAAAAATTTGAATTTCACACCGAATTTTTCGAAAATATTGTTAGGTGACCCTAAACTCGATATATTTTTGGAATCAGCACGTCAAGATCTATAACTCTGAATTTTTTGACAATTTTTAGACGAGTTTTTCAAAAATGAAATTTTCGCCCCATTTTCGAGGATTTTCGAAATTTAACTAAACATATTTTCTTGTAGATTTCGGACCGCAGAAGTCACTTCCGGCCTCATTTCTTTGATAACTCCAACTGTTTTTCCAAAATCGCCCATCGAAATATTGTACTTTTTAAAAAATCCACAAAATTCGAATTTACAACCATATTTTTCGAAAATATTGCTAGGTGACCCTAAACACGCTATATTTTTGGAATCGCTACATTAAGATCTATAACCCTGAATTTTTTTGAGAATTTTTCCACTATGTAGGCTTTATAAAACTCCTAGTAATTCCCAAAGTGTTCAAAATTTCCATAAATTGGAACGACTCTAAAGAGTCTAAAGACTAAAGATTTTAAAGGCTCTAAAGGGTCAGAACACTCTAAGAACTTAAAAGCTAAAATTCTGTTTCGAATACTTGAAAGATTCTAAACGTTCTAGAGAAATTTTAAAAAGCCACAGATTCTAAAACTTGTAAAAATCGCGTGAACTCTTAACATGATAAAGATTTTAAAAATTCCAAAGACTTAAGAAAACAAAAATTTTAAAGACCTAAAAATTATAAAGATCGGAAAAATGGTTTCTTTAACTTTTATAAATCCTAAAAGCGCTGAAGGCCTTGAACACCCTAATTATTATCTTATAAATGTTGGAGATTGTAAAGATTCCAGAGATTCCAAAGATTTAGACTCTTGAGATCTAGAAACTTTAGAAAAACTGAAAAAATTTAGAAAGTGGGAAAAATGTGGTAGACCTAGAAATCTTGAAAATATTGGAAAAGGTTGAAGTTCAAAATTCCAGTATAACTAAAGCATGACAATTTTAGAAATTTTGGAAAATGTGGAAATTCTGGTCATTTTGTGCACTTCGGAAAATTAAAAAATTGGGCTAATCTGGAAAATCTGAACATTCTGGAAATTTAGAAAATTTTACAAAATACGTAAATTTCCAAAAAATAAAGGAAAATAAAAAAATCTCAATATTTCACAATCTTAAGATCTAGCCTTTCAATAATTCTAAAAATCTTACAGTTTTCATACACTAGAATTTGCGAATTGTAAAGACACCAAACATGCTAACTAAACTAAAGTTTTAGGTTCTAAATAGAAGAAACATCCAACAAAATCTTAAAAATTGTAAAGATCTTGGAAGTATTAATGCTGCTATAAATTATAAAAAATTCTAAACTTTATAAAATTTCTAGTAATTCTGAAGTATTCAAAATTTTCAAAGATTGCAAAGACTCTAAGAACACTGAAAACTTTAAAGATTCTAAATACTCTAAGGGTTCAAACGTTAAAAAGGTTTTTAAAATTCTGGTCAAAAAAGAAATCAAATCCGTTACTTTCAATTAATGCAATTTGCAAATGAGTGTTTAAAGGATATACCCTCCACTCTGTAATTTTCATTTAAATAAAAAAAAATCTTTCAAAAAGATTCTATAATTTGTAAAAAACGCATAAACTCTTAACATGACAAAAATTTTAAAGATTCCAAAGACTCTAAACAAAACAAAAATCCTAAAATTTAAAATCGTAAAAACCTGATTTAATATTTGAGCACCCTAATTATTATCTTATACATCTCAGAGAATCTAAAGATTCCAGAGATTCCAAAAATCTCAAAGTTTTAAAGATTGTTGGAGTCTATTAATTTTAGAAAATCTGGAAATATCTAGAAAGTGTGAAAAAACCTTGAAAATTGAGGAAAATGTTGAATTTTGGCATATCGGAAGACTGATATTTTTATAATAATTAGAAAATCTGGTACTTCTGGAAATTTCAAAAATTTACTCAATCGTCTTTTTTAAAAATGTAGAACCTCCTCGGGGGCGCCAAATGTTTATTTTAGAATGTGAAACCTTCTCGATGAATAAGAAAATTCATCACAATTGAGATGAGGGTGGGTGGGCGGGCTTTATATTTTCTTTTTTTTTTTTTTTTCTTATACATATGTACATAGTTTTCTATTCACGACAAAAAATGAAAACTTGTTTAAAATGGTCAATTTGTAGAGAAGTGTGGGACATAAAATTTACCATTTTAAAGATGTTTTCAGTCCTTTGTTGTGAAGAGTATGATTATATTAAGAAAAAAAAAAGTGAAATCATTTTCGACGATTTTTGAAACGTAACTAAATCCATTTTCTTGTAGATTTCGGGGTGCAGAAGTCACTTCCAGCCCTATTTCTTCTAGATTTTTGGGATCAGCACGTCAAGATCTATAATTCCGAATTTTTTGAGAATTTTTAGACGATTTTTTCAAAATGAAATTTTTTACCGTGACATATACTTACTTATTTCGAAAATCTTGATTCAGGACCATAAATACGCTATATTTTTCGAATCAGGTCGTCGATATCTACACATATAGTAGAATTTTTTGTGTGTATTTTTAGACAAATTCCTAAAAGCCCAATTAGTCTTTTCCTAGATGCATTTTTTCTAACATTCGTAATTTGACACCACCAGTCTTTTGGAACACTTGTATATCGAGTGGTAATTTAAATCTATTGACAAGTAATCTATGAAAAAAAGCGGATAATACTAGAATGAATTTCAAAATGATTGTGTAACATGTACGCAAAAAAAAACTCCAAATCGAATTCTGAAACTGACGTAGTTTTAAATCACCATTCTGTTAATGTGATATTTAAGCTTGATCATCCGATTTAAGCCATGATCATGACATTTGATTGACACTGGCAAACGATTTTATATCACGAATTTCTTCTTAGCCAAATTTAGATGATCAGCTATATAACGGGACTAATTAGATTTTTACAACATGCCGTCGACTTCAAGTATTTGCAGAAGCTGAAATATTTTCTAAATTAATTTGTAAGAACTCGACAAGTAAACTAATAAACTGAACACATGTATTTAAAAAATAATACTCCTAATAAATTAGTAAATAAAATACCTCGTTTTAAAAAGACAAATCTTCTCTTCTGGTAACGAATGGATAATTAAAATTATTGTAGCTTGAAGGTCACATTTCTTACTTTTTCACGGAATGTAACTAGTTTAATAAATTTTTTCATAAGCAAGGTTAAAATGATGATGTTAATCATCTTCCTAATTCCTCTTTGTCATTTGTAATTTAAGGACCGTATTGTTTTGCGTTGGTGTAATTTATTGCTTAATTTTCGTACAAAATTGCACCTCCATGTCGTGCCAGAAACCTACCGCAATTACGATGAAAATTTAATCAACACAACTAGGTGCTCTAATTTCGCGCCTAACCTACAAAAAGAATATTTACCTATAGTTGAACCCTTCACAAGCGAAGCGTTTTTCTTCAGCACATTCCCTTTGGCAGTCTTCGACTCGTTCACAAAATAACGCCCTCTTAACTAACGCTCTGGCGACACGTTTGCCAGCTAAAACTCTTCGGAAGCATGCTGGAACAAAATAAACAATCATATAATTACTTAACTCGACAGGTCATAAAAGAAAATTGTGGATGAGTACGTTTTGAAACTTCTTTACCTTCAGAGGATAACTAATTTAAAACAGACAATAGAATCGTTAAGAAATAAAATAGAAATTGATGATTATCTCGTTTTGAAATAGAAAATTGCAGCGTAAGTATTGTGATTTTTAAATGTGTATTATGTCCCGAAACTTCAATACGCTAACAAAATTTAAGGTCATATGCGAATTGTTGGTAAAACATTTACATAAAACTAAGGTTAAGAATTAGATGAACTAGTTGTATGCTAATGTTAAGTTCACATTAGCTACATGAGTTTTGCAATTCTTTAAGCGAAATTTTCTGCACCGCTTTTTTAACATACCTACACACACTCAATTTAGATATGACTGATAAAGTGTATACACATCCTCTAATTAATATTCAAATTTATGTAAATTGCTTTCAAGAAGTCTTAGTCACTCTCAATAAAAACTATGTTAACAACTTTTGCTCTCAAGTTTTTTCGCTCTTTAATAGAAGTGTTAATTTTGTTGTAGATTTGCAACCGAATAGATTGAAGATAAATGAAATTAATGCGTATTGTGACTCATGCTTTTGTTAAAACCACGTTTGCATTTATACCTTATTATTATAAATGCAATATACATAACTGTGTTATTTTTCAGTGATGTAGTATAAAACAGGAAAACTGGACACAAAAATAACTTGAACTGAAAACCTAATTAAAGGTAGGTAAATCTACAATTTAGTGGTGAGAAGATATTTTTGCTATGTGTGTTAAGGGATGGCTAAAACAGCCTGATTTTGTTGAAAATCTAATATTATGATCTCTTGATTTTCACAGTCTGCAAGATACGAAAATTAAGTTTCCTGTTTACGTCTGTTGTCTGTCGACGTCGGTTTTATAAAACTATTTTGAACAGAAAAGCTGGGAAAGTGTCTTGTCGATTACGCTAAAATTTCAAATAATTTTGTTTCGAGATTATTTTGAAAAATCTTAAAACTCAATTAAAATATACCCCCTGGGATACAACTTTATTTTTGTGCTTCAGTAATATTCTTTATAGGATATTTTTTCTGGGTAAACCCAGAGTATTGTAGGAGGAGTGCCAAAAAGGAGTTTGGTTGTAACAAGAATCCCAAAATTTATTGTAATAATAATAATTTAGAAAGAATTTTGACAATTTTCATCACATCAGTTATACCCATTACGATCGAATGATAACTATCCATAAGGTCCTTCTAAGCTACTACATTAATTTAATTATAATTTTGAACACAGAATTAAGAATTGAATTATTTCAACAAATCTGTTATTTACGTCAAACGTTTTTTAAATGTAAAATTAAGAACACCTTTTTCAGAGCCCATTCAAAAATTACCTAAATAGATTCTTTTTATTGATTTTGATTTACAAAAGTTATCTTCCGCTTCATTTCTTCGAATATTTCAACCATTTTTCTAAAATCGCCAAAATTAAATATGTTCATTTTTGGAATATCTTAAAAAAAATTTAAAGCAATTTTTTCAGAAAAAATCAATTTTTCTCTCCCCCTATGAAAATTACAGAAAGGAAATCTTTTGGTAGATTTCAATTTTCAGAAAGGATTTTCGCCCCCATTTCTTCTAAAATTTTCTAGAATCGCCCGATGAAATATGACGGATTTTAAAATTTGGAAAAATTTGGCTTTCAAACCGAATATATCGAAACTCTTGCTCTGGAACCATTCTATCTGTAGGTTCAGTTTGTCGATATCTGAACCACAGAATTTTTTCATACTGAGTTACCGTGCTCTTTTGCCTTATTCTTAACCCTGCTCCTGAAGGTGCCACTTACGAAAGTGTGCGAAACGTTGAGCCGAATAACTCAATTTACACGGTTGCAACCCGGAAAACGATCATGTATTGATTCCGACCGTGGAAGCCTCCGAAATTATTTTATTTCGGTAACTTTACCAAAAGCTCAGATTTTCAATTCCCCCATTTTTGATTTTTTTTAAAGATTACTTAAAGAGATTTTTTGTTGATTTCAAATTTTACCCCAAAATAGCTTCCGCAAGTCTAAATCAACAAAAAAATCTCTTTAGGTAATTTTAGAGCGTTTCGAGAAAAACTCGAAATTTTCATAAAGGAGGGGATAAAGAAAAAATATTGAAAAATCCGGTTTAAAAATGAAATCTTTTAAATGTCTCGAAAAACGTCATTTTGATTTTATTGATTCTGGAAAATATGCTGGAATTTTCGAAAAAATGAAACCGAAAATATTTAGCTTCTATAAAGTAGAAATCTACAAGAAATGTTTGGATAATTTTCGAATGGTGCTCGAAAAATGATCAAAAATTCATGCGGACAGGTATTGAAAAATTGAAAAGATGTCTAAAAATCTTCAAAATTCTGGGATACAGATCTCGTCGAGCTGTTTCAAAAAACATTAGATGTTAATGATCCCGGATAAAAATTTTTGAAAAATTCGGTGTTAAAATGAAATGCTTTAATTATTTCGAAAATCGTCGATTCTGGAAAAATATTAGAATTTTCAATGAAATGAAGCCGGAAAAAACTCCCGCAAGTCGAAATTAAAAAAAAAACTTTAATTAATATTTGAACGTGTTCCAGAAAGGTCAAAAATGTCATAAAAGAGGGGCAAAGAAAAAACTTTCTAAAAATTCTGTTTTAAAATGAAATCTTTTAAATATCTCGAAAATTGTCATTTTTCATCTTATTGATTCTGGAATAAATGTTGGAATTTTCGCAAAAATGAAACCGAAAATAAGTTCTACGAGTCGAAATTCATAAAAAAATGTCATTAGGTATGTTTCGAAGAATTTCCGAAATTGAGGTTTTTGAAAAGTTGCCGACAAAACTTCTGAGATGCAGATATTGACGAGCTGATTTGAAAAGCATAAAGTGGTCGGAGTAAAATTATGAAAACTTCCGTTTGAAATGAATATTTAATGACTGTCATTTGGATTTTATTACATTTTTCAGATCACATTCAAAAATTACCTAAAGAGATTTTTTTATTAATTTCGACTTGTAAAGTTATCTTCGGCTTCATTTCTTCGAATATTTCAACCATTTTAAACATGGAAATTTTTTGAATATATTAAAAATTTAAGGCAACTTTTTCAAAAAGTCAGTTTTTCTCCCCCCTTATGAAAATTACCCAAAGAAATCTTTTTGTAGATTTCAATCTTCAGAAGTGCTTTCCGCCCCGATTTTTTGTAAAATCTGCACCATTTTCCAGAATCGCCCAATGTAATATGGGAATTTTTAAGATTTGAAAAAATTTCGCTTTTATACCTAATATTTCGAAAATCCTGCTCTAGGAGCATCAACAGATTTTCTCTTTCAAATCAGGTTGTCAGGATCTATACCACAGAATTTTTTGTGGATTCACTTCAGTAATTTTATCAAAAGCTCAAATTTTCAATTACTCTTTTTTGGCTTTTTTTGAACAAACAAAAAAAAATGTTTTTCCAGAAAAGGTCAAAAGTTTCATAAAGAAAAAAAATTGAAAAATTCGGCTTCAAAATGAGATGCTTTAATGTTTCGAAAATTGTTGATTCTGGAAAAATATGGGAATTTTCAATGAAATCAAGCCGGAAATAACTTCCGTAAGTCGAAATTAAAAAAATCTCTAGTTAATTTTTGAGTGTGTTCTAAAAAGGTCAAAAATTTCATAAAAGAGGGGGTAAAGAAAAAAGTTTTCGAAAAATTCTGTTTAAAAATGAAATCTTGTAAATAACTCGAAAATTGTCACGTTTTATCTTATCGATTCTGGAAAAAATGTTGGAATTTTCGAAAAAATGAAACCGAAAATAACTTCTACAAGTCGAAATTCACAAGAAAATGTCCTCGTGTACTTTTGGAATGCTGTTCGAAAAACGGTCAAAAAATTCATACGGGACGGTAAAAAATTGAGATTTTTGAAAATGTTCCTAAAAGTCCTCAAAAATTGTGGGATAGAGATCTCGTGAAGCTGATTCGAAACAAAAACTTCCTTTATGATCCCGTACGAAGATTTTCGAAAAAATTCATTTTAAATTTACATGTTTTCAATATCTCGAAAATTGTCGATTCTGGAAAAAAAGAAATTTTCAATGAAATGAAGCCCGAAATATTTTCTACAGGTCGAAGTTTGGACAATTAAAATAAAACTGGACAAGACAACAAAAAGATGATGATGATTGGTCAATAATTCAGAACTGTACTAGCCTTAAAAACCAGAAGATGGCAACACAAGAATTCAGATTGCAAAATTACTCCAAATTCACTTGGGAACATCTCTAAAAAGATGGCTAAATTTGTAAAACTGAACTATCCAAAGGTTACACCGGACATGCCTTTCCGCGCACTTCCGCTACTTAACAAACGAAGGATAAATGTTTTGGATTTAAAACCCCATGGGAGATGAAATTAAATGGAGAATCAGAAAAATATGTCAAAGATTGTATCAATGATATTAAAGGATAGGAAAATTTTGTATGATAATACATCTGACTGAGTTAATACTAGTATCCAAAAGTACAGATCAAACAAATTTGATCATGGCATGGAGTAACCGCGAAATTACTGTGGCCGTTGATAATTCAATCATTTTGAACGAAAAAACTGTAGTTTTCATAAATAATAGTAATAAAAGTGTGTTTAACTTTTTTGTTAATGAGCAACTCATTAAAACGACATTAATTTTGTTTCCAGTTAACAAACTCGATTACTTTATTTTAGAGGTAATTTAATTATGCTCTAGGGCTTTTCGAACAACCATGGTTGCCGTACAGATTAATTAGATACCCAGAAGCATTTAAAATGTTCAAAACAGATTGTTCGTGGAAAAAGTTTTTGCACTGAAGTTTCTGCGTCACCTCTCAACCACAGCAAAAGTTTCAACTTTTGATGTACCAGTAAATGTACTAATTTTTTTTATAATAATGAAGTACTTTTCTTAACGTTACTGCGTTT